TTAACTGGTTACCGGAGCAATTTAACTTTCCTTCTAAATTTTTAATGTTTAAATCTAACTTTGTTACCTTTTCTTTCTCCTGCTTAGTTTGATATAGTTGATTAATATATTCTTGAGCGTTTACCATAATGTTTTGATGTTTATTTTGTGTTATTATTATTGTTTAAAAATTGTGTTTACAATCACTACTTAGCTTTTAAGTAATTATAACAAATTAGGTAGCGATTGATTTTATAATTATTCTTCATTGTCCGCATAAATTACTTGTCTCAGTCTAGCGGAGAGTATTTTGGGGAAATATTTTATGTTTGTCAAGGTCAGTCTACTTTATTATATTTACTTCGCCAATAGCAGTCAATAATTCCGAGAATATGTGAATTATTATTATCACAGCATCAAATTAAACGGTAAGCATAGTCTCATTGGTTAAAAACTGGTTCAAAAGAATAATAAGAGTATTGGTAATAATTTCCTTCAAATTTTACTTCTTGTTCGCTCTTGCCATCTAATTGCTCAACTAATTCACAAATTAAGTTGTCATTAATTAATACTTTGGCTAATTCTTTCTTGGTCAATCTAATTCCTTTTTCCTTTAAACCCTCTTCAAATTCTTCATTCTTTATCTCATAATCAGGACTGATTTCTAATTTAGTAAAGGTTTGTTCACCAATTACTATATCACAGTCATATTCACGGAGATTAGTGGGCTTTTGCGGAGGCTTCTTTACGGTCATAAGAAAAATTGGTTTTTAGTTTAAAAGGCATGGGCAACTCGCTTAAATAATTGATTAGTTCTTCCAAAGTTAATTTATCGAGATGACGGAACAAAATGTATTCTAGTTTGGCTTTATTAACTCCTAGTCTTTGGGCTAATCCTTTTTCTGATAAATTATTTTCATCTTGATAACGGGAAATACTAAGACAAAGGTGATATTTAACTTTATCAGCCTCAGTAGCATCCGGTAATAAGCCAATATTTACCCGACGATAGCCTGGTCTGGCTATTCTTTTTCTTACTCTTTCTAGTTCTTCCTGTGGAGGGAAAGAAAAGGTAACAAAGTTAGATTTAAACATTAAAAATTTAGAAGGAAAGTTAAATTGCTCCGGTAACCAGTTAACTAATTTGAAATTTAGTGAAAGAATACAACTAAGTGAACTAGTCTTAAGCAACAATAAAATAACTGAACTTGACTTTCTTAAACAATTAAATCCGGAGAAAATGACTCGTTTGAATTTAGATAATAATGACATTGTTCCAATTAATTTATCGGTCTTTAGCAAATTTGTAAATTTGGAGAAATTAAACATTGGCACAAATTATGAGGAAAGAATTAAGCAAGGAATGTATAATCGCTTTTATGGTTCTTTGGAACCTTTGCAAGGTTTAACTAAATTAGAAAAATTAAGCATCGAGAATACTGACATTAATGATGGTTTAGGACATTTGCCAGAGAACTTGAAAAGAGTTGCTTGCGATGGTAAGTTAGCTGAACATTTGAAAGATTGTTCTTGCAGTCACGAAGGCTACGATTATCAAACTTGGAGAAAAGATTATTTAATTAAGAAACTTCGAGAGGAAAGTAATAAGATTAAATCTTTAGAACAAGAAGTAGAAAGATTAATTAATCTCATTAAACAACAAAAAGAAAAAATAATAGATGCTTATTTGCATTTCTTTGCTGAAAAAGAACTATTAAAAGAACTAATTACGGATTATTTAGAATATAAAAAATCCCAAAAACAAAAATTAGATAATGTTTTTAAACTTCGTAGACAATATAACAAAGTTTATGATAGATTAGCAGACAAGATTGGCGAAGAAAAAATGATTGAGGTGGAAGATATTCTTAACAACTGCGAGGAATTAATCCATTATGAAGTGGAATTACAAGCTCAAATTAACCAGAATCAAAAACTTATTGCTGATCATCAACAAGTAATTAATCACATTACCTACAACATCGGTAATATTAATATTGATAAGGGTCATGCTCTGATTAGTAATACCATGAGCAATAATACTGATCTTAGCTATCAGATCCAGGAGGTATTAGAAACTAAAATGAAAATCTCTTTTAAAAAACAAACTGAACAAAATGATTCTTTAGTGACAAGTTCGAAAAAAAGAGAAAAACGTCAGTTATCAATCTCTTCCATAACTGAGCTTTCCTGTGAAAAAAGTAAGGTATTTGAGATAAAGTTAGACAAGGAACTAGCAGATTCCAAACAAACTTACATTCAACAAATCAATAATTTAAAATGAGACCTCGGAGTAGCTCCGGAATTACTAAAAGAAGGAGCGGAATGAGAAGATAAATTAAACAGTAAAAAAAGTATAGCAGAAGTAGAAGACTATGCCAAAGAAATATTAGAAAATATTTATCAACTAGCCAATAAAGAAATACCAGTTGATTTACAAGAACTAGAAACCAACATAGAAATTCCTCCCAAAAACAACCCTTAACCTTTCCCTTAACTTAAAATAAACAGAACTTTTTTCTCCAAACCCTCCTAATTACCAAGCATCCAGCAACTAGTTTTCCCGTTTGGTCTATATCTTAATTTTATATATATTACACTATGCAAAATATTGTCCGCTTTTTATAAGTTTATTTTGTTTATTTCTTCTTGGCGAGTCAGAATTTCATTAGTGCGAGCCTGACACTGAATTACCGCCGCTAGGTTTTTTCGTTCTTTTTCTAGTTGAAGATATTCGCTGGTTAGTTCTTTTTCTTCCTCCAACAAAATTTTATCTAGTTTGATATCGTTAGCTATTTTTAATAATTTTATTTTCTTTATTAATATAAGATTATAATCACATCTAGTAGAGCCTTAAAGAAAAATAATAAGAGAAGCAAACTCTTAAATCATTAATAAATTTCTCTCCGATGAGCTACTTCTACTACTAAAATTAAGAGTTCGGATTGTTTTATTTGGTAAATAACCCGATAATCACTAAAACGATAACTTCATAAACCTTTTAAATTACCAACTAAGGGCTTGCCATATTCCGTGGGATTTTTAATTAGATAATTTTCTACCTTGTCAAAAATCTTTTGAGCTATGGTTCGGTCAATTTTGGCTAAGTCCTCTACCGCTTCACCTTTCCAAATTGCCTTATACTTCATTAAAGAATATTCTTTATTTCAGGTTAAGTTTTTCTCTAACCTCCTCGGAAGTATAAGTTTTGCCCCCTTTTTCTAGTCTTTCCAAAGCAATCCGAAGGTCTTCCACGTCCTCTAAATAACGAATTAAGGCTTCTTTGATATGAAAGTCTTTGGACCTTTTGGAAATGGCTTCCAAATAAATTAGTTGGTTTTCTAATTTTTTCGGTAAGTTAATTGTTAAGTTTGTCATATTAAGTTATTTTAAATTAAATTTTCTATTTACTTTTCTTAATATCATCACGGAACTTTTTTACCAGCTTTTTTCAATTCTTTAACTTTCTTTTGTCTTCAAATATAATAAGGAATTAATAATATTAACAAAACAACTAAAAAAGTAATTCAAAAAGTAGGTGAATCAGTAACATTTCGGTCCTTCTTTTTTGGCGGATTTGACGGATTATTAGTGGAAGTTGGTATTTGACCACTCTGAACTAATCTTTGAAGTTCTTTTAACTCTTGTTTTTCCTCATCATCAATCCCAATCATATCATCTATGTCTACCTTTTGACCTTTGACAATTCGAGCAGCGATTTTTAATACTTGTTTATTTTGGAACGAAATATTTAAATTGTCAATATTTATCTCCTGACCTTGAATTATTTGTTGGATAGCTGGAAAGATTATCTTGGCTTCGGGGTCGCAAGCATCACACCACTTTTTATCGGGCTTTTGGGGAAAATAATGCGTATTATCACCATAATTGAAGTATTTTTTACAATTACAGCATTTAATATTACTTTGGTTATTAGCAGTTGGGGAAGAAGGATTATTGTTTAGCGGAGCAGAAACGGATGGAGAGGGAGGAGTAATAGGATTAGAAGGAGAATCGTTAGTAGGAGGAGGATTATTATCTCCTGGTGGGTCATTAGGAGAATCATTGCCTTTATTTCGCTCGTTGTCCGCGATTTGCTGTTTAATTCGGGCTATTTCTGCTTCGTTTTGTCTCATTTCTGCCTCAATTTCTTCGAAACTTCTGTTTTTACCTTTCTGTTCCAACTGGGCTAAATAATCAAGCAGGGCTTCCCGTAAGTTTTTATTGCTTTCTTCATTATCATCGAGTATATTGTTTAACTCCGCACTTTTTTCTTGACTCCTTTTAAATGTTTCGTCAATTGACTTTTTCAAGCAGGGCGAGCAATATTGCCCTTTCTTTATTTTGGTTTGGCAGCTAGGACTTTGGCAATTACCAGGATTATTTATTTTTTCTTGCTCTCGTTCGGCTTCGGCTAACTTTTTGGCTTTTAAGTGGTCTAATTTTTTTTCACATTGGGGGCATAATCATTCACCGCGGATAAAATCAGGGTGATTGTCGTTTTGAGTGGGAACTTGCTTAGTAATTAACATCCGTAGCAAATTATTGTTATTAGTTTACTCATTTTGATATATATATATATATATATATTTTATTAATTATAATTCTGTTTGATAATTTTATTTGGGAGGAATTTCTATTCAGGAATCGTACTTTTCTTCTTGAGGACTTTCTACTAACTGCTGAACAACTTCCCAACTACTATTGGTTAATGTGTCTGATCCTTCTGAGTCAGATGTGCTTTTTTTCTTTACTTGTCTAGTTTCTAGTTGCTTAAAAAAATCATTACTTTCTTTGATAGCTTGTAATAAATAGTCAGCTTTCCCTATTTTACTTTTAGCTTGTTGCGACATGCCTAAACCATAGACACACATGGTAGCAAAATGCTCACAGTTGTCCTTGAGTAAATGATACTCTCCCTTACCATATCCAGCTTTGACTGCTATTTCGATATGTTCTCGGATTAATTCAGGTCTTTTGAACGGGACAAAAGGATGACAGATTTCTACCTCTCTTTTACCATCTAAAAATCTTTCCCAAGTATCAATTCTAGCTCCCAAATCTTTTCCGCTTTTTTTTCCTTCTTCTAAGTTGTAAATATGAACTACTTCTGGCACTCCTTCTTCATTATTTCCTAAGTAAACAGCATAATGGTGAGTCATACCAAACTTATCAATCTTTCTTTTGACAATATCATAAGGTTTAATATAATCGTTAGGGTTTGTTTGAGACAAAAAAGTTATTTTTCTCCTTGCTACGTTTTTATAATTCTGGGAAAGTGATGGCAAATCAAAAGTATAAATATTGTTATACATCTCTGCAGCTGGATGTTCGCTACGTAGTATAATATATTTGAAATATCTTGTTACTTCTTCTCATGCTTCCCTAACTTTTGGTAATTTTTCCACAACTTTTGTTAAGTTAATTTTTGCTTTAGTTTTTCCGAAAGCAGGTTCATATACTACTATTCAGAGACTGTAATTATTACTCCCAGTCAGTTTATCATTCTTGCTAATTACCATCGCACAGTTATCATTAAACCAAGTATCAAAAAAAGATATTTTCTCTATATCCCCTCCTAACTGTTTTTTACTTTTCTTAATCAATAATTCAATTATCTTCTTATTACTATTATCATTTTCTTCGTTTTGTTGAAAAGTGACTAGTTTCTCATTTTTCTCTTTCTGTAAATAATTACTGTTGTCTTTCCACGATATATTACCAATATTAGTTAATCAAGATATTTTTTTCCTCTCCTCTATAAGTAGAGATCTAATATTAGTTTTTTCTTCTAGTTCTAATTGCCAGTTGGCTATGTCTTCGCAGTCAGTAAGGATACTTCTTATTTCATTCATAGTATCATCACTTAGTTTGCTTATTGATTCGCCTTCTAGAACTTTTTTCTTTAATCTATTCTCTAACTTATTCTCCAATTCTTCTTCTATTTCTCAGCAATCCCTTTCATATTCTCGGCATTTCTTGCGATAGTCAAAAGAACCAAGTCCTTGCTTTTTGAATTTGGTGAGTTCGATGCGAGTTCTTATTAGTTTTTCTAGCAATTCTTTCTCTTCTTCTCCAGAAACACAGCAAAGATAAGTGCGGTGTACTCTTTCTCAATGGTTTTTGATTAAACCGGTTAACTCTTGAATTCTAAGTTTAAGGAAATTGATTTCTTGTTCTTTTTCTTCAATGATAAATTTATTAATTTGTATTAAAGAAATTAATCCTTGTATATCGCCTTCAAAGTCGCCAGTTCTTACGTTAAAGAAAACATTACTCAATACATCATAAATATTTAACTCAGGGTTGATTTTTTCTAACTCTTCTTTTAGTCATTTAAAATAAGGTTGAGCCTCTTTCCAGAATTTAAAATCATAAGACGGAGCAGAAGAATATTTAAAAACATTTCCTTTTACTTTAGTTGGTTCTGTCCACCCTACCAATTTAAAACCATTAGTGTCCTTTTTTGGATCTTCTTTCAAGAGAATTGAAGAAATTCCGCTCAAGTTGTCAGGCAAATATTCAAAACCACTATCTACTTCTGTATCGGCCACGATTAAATTCTTTAATTTTTTCAAATTTTTTAAAGATTGTAGGTTTCCATAAAAATTATTACCTGATGCTCGAAGTTCCTCCAAACTAATAAATTTACTAAAAATGGCTATATCCTGGCGGAGAAAATCATTATTACTCATGTATAACCTAATCAACTTGTTATTGTTTAGTTTATCAAGAAAATCTAAGTTAGAAAGAAAGTTATTTGCAATATCAAAATAACTAATCTCTGGACAATTATTTATAACTAAGGTACTAAGTTTATTGTAATAGGCATCAAAGTGATTAAGCCTAGGAAGATTATCGATTTTTATATTAGTAAGTTGGTTTCTTGAGCAATCTAACCTTTCTAATTTAGGAAAATTTTCAATAATTAGTTCTCCTTCCAACCCACTTCTGCTGATGTCTAATCAATTTACTTCTTTTCTTTTTTTTAAAGGATATTCCTGATCCAACCATTTTTGGGCATTTCTATTTTCCTTTCTTAACTCTTCTCAATTTAAATCCTGTTGAGGATTATGACCTTTTCATCTTAAATAAGCCGCAAAGTGATAATCATTAGGTTGCAGTCCTGCTTTAATTCATTCTTCAACTTGTTGGTAGTTAAAGTCTAAATATTTTCACCCATCTTGTTTTTGCTCATCAAACTCAGAATGAATATTTTTTCAATCTTGGTTAATTTCTCTGCTAAGAAAGTGACTTAATTGTTCCGCTATTTCTCCTACTTTACTTTCTGGTCTTTCATTAGTCGAATAAGAAATTCTTCTAATACTATTAGGTAGGTAATTAACCCCATTATTAATATCAGTATTACTAATAAAAACTCTCTCTAATTTGTTTAAGTATTTTAGAGATTCTAGAGAACCATAAAAACGATTGTAAATACCTTGTTGAAATTTTTTTTTATCATCTCCTCCAACTCACAAATATTCTAAGTTGGCAAGGTGACTAAAACAAGTTAGGTCTTGACTTGGAAGATTATTATCACTAATGTTTAGGTAAGTTAATTTATTAGGATTCAAGGATAGATAATCGAAATTATTTAAATAGTTGTCATTGCAATTAATTTTTTCTAGTTGAACTAAGCCGGTTAAATCTAATTCAGCGAGCTGATTATGGGAACAATCTAATTTTTCTAAATTTGTGAAACCCTTTAAATCTAGGTGACCTTCCAACTCTTTTTCGCTAATGTATAGGTTTTTTATTGAGGCTCTTGTCTCTAGCGGATACTCTTTATCCAATCACTCTTGGGCGTTTACCATATTATTAATATTATATATTTATTTTACTAAACAGAACTTTTTTTAACTCTTAATTTTCCTCTTGGTCTATATGCCAAAAACATATGACAGAAAAGCCAATACTTAACGGGGTTTCTTTCTCTCGCCTTGACATCCAAAAGAGAGAAAAAACCAAATTAGTTAGAAAAAACTGCCTCGGTTGTGGCAACAATTTCACCTGTTCCCAATCTAAGAGTTATGATTACTGCCAAGGTTGCTCTTTAAATGACAGTCGCTACCTTAATAAAGATAGTCCTTGTTCCGAGTGTGATGATGGCTCGGGCTGAATTAAATTTCCCCAGCAACCCCCACCAAACTGTAAACTCTGTTCTCTAAAAGGGGAAATTCTTATCCAATAACCATGCCTAAACTCCACGAACTAACGGCTAAGATTATTAGTAAAGAACTGCGCAAAGTTTACAAAAAGAATGAGTTTTATGGTCAGATTAATTACCAGTTAAAAGTCTTACCCGAAGAAACTAATTCATCCCAGCCTGAAACCATTCTTGTTTACGCCAATCTAGTTAATCAGCAGTTGCTACAAATCTTAGAGCAAAATCAATATCTCGACAAGCGATACTTCTTTACTTGTCATAAGAAAAAGAGTGGTTTATTAGTCTTACAAGACTGACAAGAATTAGAAAACCATGACCAAAAACCTTAACACCATTGAAAAGAAATTGAAATTCCATTGCTCTTATTGCCAAACTACTTGACAATTATTGATAATTAGAACAGACTGCTTAACCAATCCCCAGACTAAATGCCTGAACCAGTGCCAAGATAAATGACAAGTTCTTTTAGTTACTTACTGTCAAGAACAGATTATTTTAGATTTTGCTCGAAAAGAACAAGCCAAAGATGAAAAAAGCCAAGCAATAGCCGATTGAATAAACCAAATCAAAAAAACCAATCAGAAATAATTTTATGACTAAAAAATCACTACACAAAAAAATAGAAAATAAATTAGAAATATTACACCAAATTAATGAAGCCTAAGCAATTGACCCTGATAATCCCGAAACCTGAGATAGCGACACCCTTTATGATTTAGTGGAAAACCTCAAAGAAGCCTTGAAATTATTAGAAGATAAAGTAATCAAAGGAAAATATGATGAGTTTGGTCAGCCTTTAACCGAAGAAAGATTATGCTCTTTGGTAGATAATTATCAGTCCGAGGAAGAAGACCAAGAAATTTAGCCATGACAGCCCTAATAATATTTACCCTAATCTTGGGAATAATTCTCGGCTTATCATTAGCCTTTTTATCGCTCTGACTAATCCAAGTTAAATGTCCCCAATGTAAGCAATTAAAACCACTAAAAGAAATAGTCTTTATCCACTGAAAAGAACGAGTAATCACCGGGCAACGCTGCCAAAACTGCCAAAAACCTAAACCCCAACTAGATATTGCCTTATAAATCATGAACTGAACTACTTACTGAGCCAATAAATGGGCTAATCAGCCACAAAATATTATGACTAATAACCATAATATCCTCCAATATACTGAATATTTACAAGACAAGAATTTATCTGCTAATACTATCCGACTTTACCTCAATGTCTTAGATAAATTCCCCCAAGAATTCAACACTGCTAATCTGAAAGAATATTTTCGCACCAACTTAAAAAACTACCAAGCCACCAGTTTAAAAACCCAACAACATGCTTTGAATTCTTACATTAAATTTAAGAAATTAGAAGTAGAATGAACCCGAATTGCGGGACTTATTCCCAAAACTCAACGCAAATTCTTTGCTACTCTAAATGAAGCAGAGTTAAGTTTGTTAAAGGAAACCAAGGTGGAAAAGAATTTAGCAATTCACCAAAGGAATAACCTAATCTTGGACTTCCTCCTTTATTCTGGTTTAAGAATTAATGAACTAGTAAATGTCAAACATCAAGATTGGCAAACTAACCAATTAAGAATCTTAGGTAAAGGTAATAAAGTGCGGTTTGTTTTATTACCGGAATTTCTGATTAAGCACTTTAATCCTATTTCTCCTAATTACTTATTCACTAATCAACGAGGTAATCCCATCAAAGCGGAATATATTCGCTGATTACTGAAAGCTCGAACTGAAAAAGCCGAAATTAAGAAAAATATTACTCCCCATACTTTTCGAAGGTCATTCGCTACCTGACTTCACCGCAATGGAGCCAAATTACTAACTATCCAACAATTACTCGGGCATTCTAGCGTGCAAACTACTGAGAAATATATCCAGTATGATTGGGCTTCGGTTTATCAGGATTATAGTCGGTTGTGAAAAGGAACTCTAATTTAATGTTTATGAATCAACTAATCTACAAAAATGGCTGTTGAGGCTGTAAAAGGGCGATTGAAGACCCCCAACAACAATACATTTGCCCCCAAGCTCAACAGCATTGAATTGACTATCAAGAATTGCCAGACCAAGAATTTTAAATTTACTGAAGAAATAATTTTTTATTAAAAACGCCAACTAATCTGCTCCAAAAGAGGCTAAACCTTGGCTGGAGCTACCTTTAACCGGAGGGTAAAAAACCCAACAAAACTGCTTCCCTCAGTGATAAGTTAGGGCTGAGTAATCAGTAAGGAAGACCTCTCCCAGGGAAATTAACAAACGGGATGAAAAACTAATCAGCAATCTGAGTGACAGAATAACCCGAATGAAGATAAGTTCGTCAATTATGAAAACAGACCAAAGATTAGGGTAGAGGCTTAGAGCAATCTAAGTGTGCCACTGGCACTAGGAGCCTTGCTTATGAGGTTAAACATAAGCCAAAGAAGCTTAGGAAGTTTTCAAAGGTTCTCCTGAGATACAAAAAGAAAAACCACAGGAGAGGAGGGGAATTTTTATTTTTTTACTCCGCTAATTATATTTTGCTTCTTTGAGAGTAGGATATTTATCTTAGTCTTCTCTCCTAGTGTTCATTACAAGAGACACCTACATATAGAAAATGAAAGATAATCAATTAACTAAATCAGAAACTAAATATCTGCGAGGATTAGCCAAGAAGCATATTCTTTTACCAACTAAATTTAAGAAATCTTTGGTAAAGAATTGGAATAAATACTATCCTGAGTATCGCAGTATTGAAAAACTATTAGAACTAAACCAGGAATATTCTTTACGAACTGGCACTCTAATTGGTAATTATTACTTTATTGTGATAGATTTGGATGACCTTTGAGCTAAGGAAAGAATCAAAGATAGTCGCTATATCCAAACTCACAAAGGTATCCATCGTTATATTTTGTTGAAAGAATTACCGAAATCTTGCTGATTAGTCAACCAAGACGGAGAACCGATTGGCGAAATCCACAGCAAAGGTCGGTTTATTGTCGGAATTGGTTCTATTCACCAGCAAGGAACTCGGTATAGTTTAAAAGGGAGAGTTAACCAAAAATGAAGTTTAAAAATGGAGAATTTGCAAGAACTGCAAACCTTTTTAACCAAGCGGAATATTTTCACTACTCCCTGAGGAAAAAAAGGAGTAGAAAGCATTAGAAATTTAGAACTTTATTACCCGAAACCTAAGAAAATAAGCCCCGAACAAAAATATTGTCAAAAGAAAGAGCAATTAGAACAGCAAATAGCTCGGCACCCACAAAAAGAAAACCTAAACACTTGCTATATTTGCCTAGTCTATTTTGAAAAAACTACTGCCAGAATTAAATCTCATTTAGCAGGAAAACAACATCAGAAAAATTGAAAGATTTATCAGGAAAAGAAAAACAAAATTCTTTCCTCCTAATGGCTTATAAAGTGGAAGGTAAGGTTAAAATTAACTTATACTTTACTCCCAATCTAACCTAAATTAGTAAAGAAAGAAATAACTCGTGGAAAGAAAAAGGGATGCCAGTCACATTTACTTCATGAAAAGAAATATTAGTAAAAGCAAAAAAACTTTGTCAGTCTTGCCAACTAACCAACTTTTACAGCAAGTTTGGGATTATATTATTAGTAGACCGAATAAAAAAGGAGAATATAAGAAGTCGGAAATGGAATGCTTATTTCTACTCTGCTGGAAAGTCGGATTAAGAGTTAGTGAAGCTCTTAGTTTTGATTTATCCTTGGAAAACCAAGAATCGGCTTATAAAAACTTATACCTATTAAGGGGCAAAGGTCAAAAAGAACGCTGAGTTTATGTCGGAGAAGAAATAATCAAAGAATTAAAAAAAAGAAACTGACAACCCCAGCAAACTAATCGTTTCACTTTTAGCAAGTTTTGCGAGCAAGTAAAAAAAGAAATGAATATTGCTGATAGCATAGAGTTAGCACCCCATACTCTCCGCCGTTGCTTTGCCACCCATCAAGCTATTTCCGGAATGCCTTTACCAATATTGCAGAAAGTATTAGGGCATAGTAAAGTTAGCACAACCGCCCTTTATATCCGAGATGGAGAATTAAGTAATTTAGTGAAATTTAGGCCAGTGTAGCCAATAACCAAGCCAAAATAAATAATATATGGTAACAAAAGCCTTAATAACTGGTAAAAAACAACTAACTGAACGAATATCTAAAAAAACCAAAACTCCCCAAAATCAAGTAACCAAAATAATTGAGAGTTTATTGGAAGAAACCCAAAAAGCCTTAGTCAAAGGTGAAGAAATTCGCTTTTTAGGCTATTACTCCTTTAAAACTACGATTACTAAACCCAGAATAGCCATGAACTTGCAAACTAAGAAAAAAATGAAAGTTCCCGCTAAAAGAGTGCCAAAATGTAAATTCGCAACTGGTTTAAAAGAAGAGATTAATCGCAAAAAATAATGAACCTTACTCGCACTATCCAATCCACCATTAATCAACGCAAAGAATTAACTGATAGAAATGGTAATCACTACTTAATCTTAGAGTTAGACAATCGGGACAGTATTTTTGTTTTCTCCGGTAAAATTAGCCAAGAAAGATGAAGTTGATTAAAAGAAGGTCAAGAACTAAACTTCACGGTCGAAGAAGGTAAGCAGGGGGCTAATTTATTAGTGGATTATGAGATAGAGGTAAAATAATTATATCATGGCAACACGAGCAACTAAATTAAAGAATTTAAATATTGAGCCGTTATCAGTAGCTAAATATTTTTATGAAAAAGGTATTGAAACCAACTCAATCATGCAGAACTTACTTTATCTTTCTTATTTAGAAATATTGAAAAAGGAAAATGCTCTCCTTTTCGAGGAAGAATTTCAAGCCTGACGAGCTGGACCAACTCTTGACTCAGTTTTTTATGCTATGGATAATTACTTCGAAAAAAATGAGACTTACCAAGGATTATTTGACAAAGTAAAAGATATTGATAATGAAGTAGTTATTAATCACTTAGATAACATTCATAAACAATACAAGCGTTATGAAGTTAAAAAAAATGAACTAGACTTTTACGAAAAAGTTAAAGATAAAGCCTGAAAGATAACTCGTAAACCCTTAAATGATAGTTTGAAATCAAAGCCAATTAAACTAACAACCATTACTAATTCTTTGAGAGCATAGGCATTTATGATTAAAACTCTTTTTGATTTTAGTGAAATGTTTGTTAGTTGCATTCATACTGATGACTTCACTAACGCCATAAAAAGGGAAGAAGCAAAAATACTGCTTGCCAATTCTTTTATGGTTATGCAAGATTGCAGTAATAGAGATTGAAAAGAGTTTGCTGAAAATACCAATAATTGCCATGAAGTAAAAAGTGAATACATCAAGTCTCGTATTGGTAAACTAATTGATTGAAATAAAAAAGAGATTGATGATTTAAAAAGAAAACTTGTCTGACAAATTACTTTTAGTCAAGAAGCCCGTTTATTCGGAATACTAGAAAAGAACAAACCTATTAAGCATAACAACCTTTTTCAAGCTCTACTTTTAGACCCCAATCACAAGACTTACCGGAAAAGTGGCAAAAATGTTCTAACTTCCCTAAAAGACCTAATTTGCTTATTTAGTGAAGAGGATGAATGCCAAGAATTAGCAATTCAAAAATCGTTAAAGAAAAACAAAAGAAAATAGCCCTCCCGATTTCTAAAAATTTTTCCTGAATTTCTAACCAAATCTCACTAAAATTCTCACCTAAATTTTTTTGCTAATTTTCTAAATTGTCCAACTACATTCCTAATTGTTATGTAGTAGTTCATGTCAAAAACCCCCTATCACACCGCACTTAACAACTCCCTAAAATCAAAAATATAGCACTGTAAATTGACCGGTATCGGAAAAAAAACCAGACTAATTTCAGAAAAACATTAAAAAGTTAAAGCCTTGAAAGCTCTCACTAAAAGTCAACTTTCCAGCTCTCCCTAAAATAGGCAACTGAAATAATTTTTAATAAATAAATATTCTTCTGAATTCTTACCTTGTAATAGAAAAATAATCAATTTAAAAATTAAAACAATATGAATCCAAAAGATAGCAAATACACTTATTTAGCCTTGGGTATTGTAGCTGGCTTAGTAATAGCTTACGCTTATCAGAACTGAATCAAGAAAGAAGAATAAATTATGTTAAAAAAGCCTGTTAAGAAGACTGTTAATAATCAGTCCCAAATTAAATCAGCTTACGACTTAGTGGCTGCTGACTTGTTCCAAACTTTAAAAAAAGCCAAAGATGGGGCAGTTATCAAATTAGGCAACTGCGGAGCCTTTCACAAAAAAAGAACTACTATTCAAAGTGCCTTAGACGGCAATACTTATCGTTACTACCGAATAAGTTTTAAACTTTCGGAGCAACTGAAAGGTAAGAATTTATAAAATGGATAAAAAAGTATTACTATTAGTAGTAGCTGCCGTTTGTGTCGGTCTCTATTTCTACGGACAACAGCTGAAAAAAGATAACGAGTATTTAAAATACCTACCCGCCATTGGTGGTGGAGCTTACGCATTAAACTTTATCATTAATTTAGCCACTCAATAATTATGAATAACTTTCAACCGAACAATCAAACTAAGCCAACTGAAAACAATAGCTTTGACAATTTAAATCAGAATAATCGAACTCAACCTGAGTCCTCCGGTTTAATGAAAATGGTCGGTCAATCACTGCCATTTTTACCTTTACTCTTCGAACAGTTCACTGGTCAAAAGATACCGCAAATGGGCGGAACCATTGCCGAAATGCAATTAACTCTTTCGCAAGTTCTAACTATGCAACAGCAAATATTAACTAATCAGCAAACTCTCAATCAAAGACTAGTGAACTTAGAAAACAATGCTAGTTCGCAATTCACTAACTTAACCAACCAAGTCCAAAGCATTAAGTCGATTCGGCTCTCCCATGAGCGAAAACAAATTGATTATAACTTACAGCAAACCGATGAACCTAATAAATACTAACCATGTCCTTGTTCCCTGATATCACGCCCTTAATTAAGGAAATCCAAGAATTTAAAACTAATCAACAAGTCAATCAAGCCCAAATTATTGCCCTGTTACAGGAAATCAAACAAATATTACAAAATCAAAAATAATATGACTGAAAAATTAAATGAAACCCAAGAAAGATTTAGCAATAAACGCAATATTCTGATTCGCGAAGACTTAGAATATTCGGCTCAGAAACTCTTCACTTACGCCACTATTGGTTTAACTGCCATTGGAATTTATGTGGCAGTTTCTTACTTAGTTATCCAACAATTAAAAAAATAAAACCAATATTTAAAATTATGAATCCACGAAACAACAACGAAGAAAACAATAACTCCTGAACTTCCTGAGCGACTGGCAAAGTAGCCATGTTCGCAATCGGATTAGCGGCCGGCTATTTCTTATATCAGTCCGGTATTTTACAAAAAGTAACTGGTAAGATATTCAAGAAAAAAGAAGAATAGACTTCTTAATTCCTAATTCTTGCCTAATAATAGAATTAAACTCATGACTGACTTCTCAACTATTCTCATGTGAACTAATGAGAACCCCAAGTATCCCAATAGTTTTATTATCAAAACTGATAATCAGAAATTATTAGGACTAGTTAGAACTGATAAACGGGGGCAAACTTATTGGAAATTCAAAGAGATTAGAAGCAAAAGTCAGTCGAATAATAACCTTGAAATTAGACCGGTAATGGACAACATTCAGAAATTTCAGAATCGGCAATCTCAAACCGAACAATTAAACAACTATGGAAATAACTCTAACTCGCAAGAATAATGAGGTAGTAACTACTACTGATTTAGCTAAAACGGTTCAAGATTTAAATGGTAGTTTATCCGCTCTGGCTCCCCAGAACTCGGAAACTGCCCGATTGATTACTTACACCTTAGTAGCCACCGCCGTAGTCGGGATATTTGTTTATCATTACATAAAAAATCAAGAGCAATTAGACTAATATGGTAAATTGAAAAGATTATCTCCCCGATTTCAAAGGAGCCTTGAATAACTTCTATGATGAAAAATTAAAAGACACTATTGAAAATAAAAGTGCGGAGTATAAGAAACTGTTACAAGAAAACTTTGCTTACGGTCAAAATACCCAAAAAGCCTTAATTGCGATTGCTCTGGGTATCTTTTTACTACTAGCAATTGCCTACTTCTGAAAAGAAGAATAAATCAAACCAAAAATTAACCAAAAAACCTTATGAAAAACCTCAAATATATTGCCTTAGGCATTTTAGTCGGTTATTTATTACCCTACATAATAGAACTAATGCCAAACAAGAAAAACAGCTTTGACTTTTCGCAGAATAGTCAAACTAACCAAACTAACGAATATTAAACACTATGTCGAAATATTTTATCTGATTCTCAATTTGCTTAATAGTCGGCTTTTATTTTCGCCACTGAGCCAATACTGGCTCGGGTCAATTTCGAAGACTAAACGATTTTTTTTAACAACCTATGTCCGCACCTACTCTGTTAATTTGCTCCGCTTTGGCTATCCTCTGCGGAGTATTAGTTCAGCAAACTATTGAAACATTTATTAACACCTCTTTGACTTTACTACCCTTTAATATTCGCACTATTTAAAGTAACTGGGAGCTAAAAACTAGTCTTCTTTTGTCATACTGTAATGGTTTACTAGTTGCCTTTCTCCCAGTGCTAATCGAAATTATGAAAAAGCAAATTTGCTTCCTCTGCCAGCAAGAAAGCCTCTGAGGTAGTGAGTGACGAGGTTCTTTTATTTGTTGAAAATGTCAATTAACTCAATTACCGAGAAATTAGCTTGACTTGAGAAATATTTATAAAAATTATGAAGCACACCGGCAAAACTATCGGCAAAAGAGCCATGAGGCTCATAACTAAACATAACTCCCAATATTTTTGAAATAAATTACAAGCCCAAATCCCAAGAAAATCTAAACCAAATATGCTTAATCTACCAACTAACTCCCAATTATTCCAATACTCACAACAGAATTATACTTGTGATAAATGTCAGCAAGATTTTCAGAAAACTACGGCTTATTCCCCAACTGACAAACTGGAAGAATTAGCCCAACATCCGACTTACTGTCCGAACTGTGCCAAAGCAACTTCCTTAGTGCCAGTTGCTAATGGTAAGAAAAAACCGAAATCTAAAAAAAACACCGTGGCTTACTACCAATGTCTATCGGCTTGTTGTCAGCAAGGAATTAGTCCGAAAAAGATTAGTCAAGTAGCCTCCGAATGTAAGCATAATAGTTTAACCATTTTAGCCCAAAGAACTAACGAAATCCAAAAGTTAAATGAGGCTTATCGGCAAATTGGCGAAAGTTTAACTAGTTTGTTGCAACCGATTAAAGAAGAATAAAAATTATGGACTGCACCAACTGATTTTACCTCTGCTTGGCTCTTTGCGGAGTTATTCTCGCCATGTTAGCCATGTTTTTCAATTACTCCTTAAAACTAGGCTGACGAACCGCTAAATTAGAGAAAAAAAACGGACATGAGCAGCAACAACTTAATGAATTAGCCCAAGAAATACACAGTATTCAAAGTTCTTTATTCCATAAAGAGCTGAAAATCAAGAAATTAAAAAGTAAAAAGAAAAATAATGACTAAATATTTAATAATAATTGCCTTAGTAGTATTGATTTACCTCTACTGAAAAAACCAACCAAAAACTATTGCTCCCAAACCCGATGATATCATTGAACGCAAGGGCAAAGCTAAATCAGAAACCTTTTGAGACGCCAAAGACTGAGAGGTAAACTCAGATAATGATAATTATGACTAACAAAGATAACTTACAGCAAGAATTAAAAGCCAAAGTAAAACCGGGCATTAAGCCTTCTCACTTACGCAAAAGTAAAAGTCTGAGTGATATCCCAGTGGCTCCTCCGTTGCCTAATACTCCGTTACAAAAAAGTAAATCGCAGTTAGATATTCCAGTCTCTCAGCAACCTACTCCCAGCCAACAAATCAGCCAATTACAAGAGCAAGTGAAATTTCATGCTCAAACTAGTCAGAACTATCTCCAAAGTCTCCAAGTTGCCCAAGCTAAAATAATTGATTTAGAAGAATTACCAGCCCAGATTAAGCAGTTAGAACAACAAATCTTACAACTCAGATTAGACAAGATTAAAGAATTTGCCGACTACTTAGAAAAAAAACAAGATTTAGAAACCGAATTAGAACTAAACATAAATGAAGGAATTAGTGAAATTAAAAGACTAGAAAACAAATTACTGACCATTAATAAAAAAAAGTTAGAATTAGCCCACAAACTCAGTCAAGTCCAAGGTAAAAATGCCCAATTAGAATTAGCAATGATTAATAATCACGAACCCACTACTTTTAACTATTGACCGATTATTACAATTCTGGCTCTGGGTTGCTTATCGGTCTGACTATTTAACCAAAATACACCAAAATATCACCAATAAAATTATGGGAATCAAATCAGCCGTTAAAGAATGAGTCGAAGGAGTTTGAGAACGAAATGTCAAACAACCTATCGCCAATAAAACTATCGAACTAGAAAACTCAGCTAGTCAACAGTGAAACACTTACTCTAAGCAAGCCAAAGAAACCGCTTACAAGCCAATTGACTATTACCGTAAGCAAGAAGCCTTTTATCGGGGTTTATTTTGAATATGTGTGCTACTGTTAATTGTCTTGTGGATGTTAAGTGGGAGTTAAGAAATTAAAATTTATGGAAAACAAGGAAATATTAATAACAGTTGCTGTTGTCTCAGTTTTAGTTTATCTTTACTGACAAAATCAGCAAAGTAATCTGAATACTCAACCATTAGCCGGTAAAGAACCAGCTGAAAACCGCCAAATAAAAGAACTCCAAAACCAAGTCCACCATTACCAAAAACTTTATCAGTCCCGGGTAGAAAAAGACTTAGCAAAAGAAAATATTCTCCAATCTATCACTCGGGAACGAAATAACTATCAAGCCACCCAACCTTTACTGGAACAAAAAATAACTGATTTAGAAACTTCTTTACTGAATTTAGCCAAACAAAAAATTAAGGGTAAAAAAGCTGCTGAAAAACTCCTCAGTGAATTAGAACAAAACTGAGCCAAAGATAAAACTAATTACCAGCAACAGCAAGAAAAATCTACTGCTCGAATTAATTATTTAAATCAAGAAATAACCCAGCAAGCCCAAGTTATTAAGGAGTGAAAGGAAACAGCGAAAAACTGAGAAAACAAGGACAAAGACTGACAAAAGGAACGGCAAGCACTTCAATCAGAACAAGAGCAACAACTAAAAGTTAAAGCAACTCAGATTAATGAATTAACCCAGCAACTAACTATTGCTAAGCAAGCCTTAACCACTAGTCAAGAGCAACGAAAGCAAGAGCAACAAAAATTTGACCAGCAATTAACCGAAACTAATTCCCAACTCCACCAGTTACAAGTTAGTCAGACCGAACAAGCCCAACAATTCAACGAACAGTTAAGGAAAATTAACCTTTTATTAGAGAAAAAAGAGCAAACTTTATCTGAGAAAAGCCAAGAATTATTAAGTAAAAATCAAACTTATCAGGACTTATTAACCAAACAAGAAAACTCTGCAAAAACTATTCAGCAATTAGAGCAGGAAAAACATACTGAGAAAAGCCAACTCTACCGGAAATGAGAAAAAGAAAAGCAACAACTAATGGAACAATTTAGTACTGAATTAAAAGCCAAAGGTGAAAAGAACTGGGAACTCTACGAAGAAGCCCAAGAAAAAGACCAAAAAATTACCAAACTGAAAGAAAATATTCTGAATTTCAGACTTAGTAATCACTCTGGTTCAGTATTAAATGTTAGAAGTTTAAAATTACCTAAATTAAAAAGTTTATTTTTCACTGAGTATTATGGTAAAGAATTAGAGATAATACCTTCTCAAACACTAAAAGAATTAGAATTAGATTATTTGTATTCATTAAATAAATTAACCATTAATGAGACAAGCGACTTAGAAGTTTTAAAACTGGAACGAATTGGTCGTAGAAATCATTATCCTTTCCCAGAATATAAAAATCAACCAAATTTAACAACTCTCACGGTTAACGGACAACTAATAAATAAAATTGAAGTCACAAATATCGTTAATTTAACTCATTTAGATTTAGGGGGTAATGAACTAAAAGAGTTAAATATTTTAGAAAACAGAAAATTAATTTCTTTAGATGTCTCTAATAACCAACTTACCAACTTAGATATTACGAGAAATGACAAATTAATAGTTCAACCCGAAAACTTTTATCAATCCACCACTACTCCCTTAAAATTACGAGTGCTAGACAGTCAAGTTAAAGACTGAGGAGATAACTATGATAAAAACAAGTTAGAATTGGAAATTGAGAAAAATGATGAATGGATGGATAGTGACAATGAACTATATGAGTAAAAAAGAGCAATAAAGAAAATTAACTAAAATGGAGTTTTTAACCTGGTTACTCCTTAAAGAAATAAGGGAAAAAATTAATTAGTAATGATTAAGACCTTTAAAGACAAGTATACTGAAATGCTTTTTGCTAGAAAAAGAGTATTAAAATGAAAGCATATTGAAGAAATAACTTGAAAATCCCTCCAATATTTAAACCGTGCTGAATCACTGCAAGACTTAACAGTTTTCTCTGGACTCCGTTTAGAAAAACTCGTCGGAAATCGTAAAGGCCAGTATAGTATTCGCATCAGCAAACAATATCGAATTTGTTTTTGATGAAAAAATGGCAATGCTTATGAAGTAGAAATTACCGACTATCACTAAAAATTAATTAAGCATCATGAAAAAATTCCCCCCTATTCATCCTGGCATAATGTTAAAAGAGGACTTATTAATAGAAAAAAATATTAGTCAAGTTCAATTAGCCAAGGATATTAATATATCAATTCAACAAATTAGAGAAGTTTGCTCGGGGAAAAAAGCCATTACTCCGGACTTGTCTTTAAGATTAGGCATTTATTTTGGCATGTCTCCTAATTTTTGACTTAATTTACAAAATGATTACGAACAAGAATGTTTGAAAGACATTTTAGAAAATCAGGAAGTTAAGATTAAAAAGCAGATACATCCTTTATCTCAGCCCAAAATTAATAACCGTTTAAGGAAATCTTTGTAATTATTCTTTTTTCCTTGTATGAGATTTTCCCACTTCTAGCCTTGTAAAGAAAACCAACAAAACAATATGAAACTCCTCTGAATACTAATAATAATTGTCCTCGCTTACTGAATTTATCGGAAGAAATTAGCCAGTAATTAATACTTTTTTTCTAACCCTTGCTCTTTTTTAATAAATATATCTCACTTTCCAACTTCTCTATTTTTTGACAAGCACTTTTATAATGCTGATAAAGGAACAATCATGCTCCTAAAAAAAGAAACAAACTTACTACAAAAAGCAACCAAACTCTAAAATAAAGGAGAAATCCTAAAAGAAAAACGGACAAAATAAAAGACTGGATTATTAAGTGTATAGGATTTCCGCCATACTTGTCCCTTTCTTTTTTGGCTTCCCTAAGTTCTAGTAATTTTACCCTTATTTTTAATTCTAATAACTCACTATCCATAATAATATTTTTTACGAAATAAACAACAAATAAAAAAAACATGACAGACGACAAAAAAAAGAAACTTGACAAATTCGATGATGATGGGAAACAAGATTCAACTTATAGCAAAGTAAGTAATACTGTATTTAAAAGGTCAGGTATCGACGGCTTGGGAAAAGTAACGGGAACTGTTGGTTTAGGTTGAGCCGAAGAAGGGTTTAAAGCAGCCAGTAAAGTTTTAGGGAATATTCCGATTCTTGGTTCAGCTTTCGGCTTTCTTTCTTTTGCTGCTGACCGAGCCAAGGACGCAAGAATACAATCGCAAATTTCTGGCTTGGCTACCAGTATTGGAGACCTGAGAGATGGCTTAGATGGATTAAACGCTGAAATGGAAGCCCAAGGAAACCGATTAGGTAAACATATCGACGGTGTCAAATCCGAACTCCAAGGAGCTATCAAGCAACAAGGGGAAAAATTTGACAAGGAAATCAAAAACTTAGACGCCAAAATAGGTCAAGCCACCGGCCAAATGAAAAAGGACTTGGAAAAAGAACGCGAAGAACGAAAAAACGCCATGGCTCAGCAAAAACAAGAATTAGAAAGCCAAATCCGCGAAGTCACCAAACAACTCACCCGAGCCCAAGAAAAATTACAAGAAGAACTGCAAGACTTTAAAAACGAAGTCAACGAACGCTTCGAACAACAAGAAAAGAAAATCCTGGAAAACAAGCGTAAAATCGAGGAGGAAAAACGCCAACGAGAAGCGGAAATCAAAGAAGTAAAAGACAAAATAAAAATTACTACTACTAACCTAGAAAACTTACGGCAAGAAAAGGAAGAACTCTCGGACAACTTCGATAAATACAAAAGCCAAATTAACCAACAAACCGCTGAAACTCAACAGGCTTTCGAAGATACCCAAGCCGAATATCAACGCAAAACTGCTATCTTAGAAGAACAAATTAAAGATAATGAGGAAATAATTGAGGAATTTCAAGAAGATTTAACCAACACCAAAAACGAGCAAAAAAAACAGAATATCCAAATCTCGGAAATCACCGAGGACTTACAAGAAACTAATGACCTTCTTCACGCTCAACAACGTAAATTAAACTTAGTTGCCGAACAAATGGAAGATATCCAAGAAGAAGTTCACTTAAAAATGGAGCATCTCTCGCAAAAATTAGATGAGCGAACCCAACAAACTTTAAATGTCGCCCAAGATGCTACTAAAAAAGTTGATAAACTAACTAAGGAAGTCCAGAATATTCATAAAGAAATGGCTAATTTAGAAGAGCAAATTCAACAAAACAAAGAAGACACCGAACAAGCCAAAAAAGAAGCCAAACTTGCTAATGAACGATTGGATAATTTAATTAAATCCCAACAACTAACTGATTACTCCGCCCAAGAATCTAAAATAGATAAAATCCAAAAATCCTTAGAACTAAAAGCCGAAGAAGCCAAGTTATTAGCCACTTTAAATCTCTTAAAAGAAACTAAAAACTTAATTCGCTTAGAAGTCAGCAATAAAGAATGAAAGGTCGGTATCAAACACGGCACCGAAACCGAATTAAAAGGTCAAGAAGGATTTATGTTAAGTCCTAATTCTTCCTGAGCCAAGCAATACACACCGGAACAACTAAAAGACTGAGGTTGAGATACTCGTTTATTTGGCGAACATGACACTTCCCATTTAGCTACCGAAGATAAAAAAGAAACCCAAAGGGAGCAATTCCAAAGTAAGGAGCAAGAAGGAGAAGAAGAAGTCAAAACCGAACAAGAACAAGCCCAACAAGCCTTAGAGGAAGTTAATAAAGTCCAAGCCCAAGTTTTACAACAACTCCAAACTATCCAAGCTGAAATTAACCAAGAACTAACCCAAGCCGAAGAACAACCGATTATTACTAAAACTAAACCCTCAGCCTCTTACCAATTTAAAGTTATTTCGGCTCAAAGTAAAGTCCAATTAAAAGAAAAAAGATTACAACAGCAAAAACGGGAAGAACTGGAAGCTCGAACTCGGCAAAAAAATGCCGAATATCAAGCCCAACAAGAACCGACTCCCACTAAGAAAAAAGCCGCTCAATTAGCCGAAAAACAATTCGAACAAGCCCAAGCTGACACTAAACAAGCCGAGCAAGACTTAGACCAAGCCCAAGCCGAATTAACCACCTTAGAACGCGACCAGGAATTTGAAGAAGAATTGGAGCAAGCGGAAGACCAAATTGCCGAAGACCACAAAGAACAGTTAGAAGAACAATGACAGCAAATTCAAGCTCTTTCTCAGCAAGCCCTAGAAACTCAACAAGACCAAGAAAAACCGGAAGAGACTAAGGAAGAGGAATTAGATAAAAAATTAGAAGAAATCGCTCAACAAATCAATCAGCAAGAAGTCGCCCAAGCGGCTAGTCAGAAAACCATGACTAAGTGAATGCTCTTTTTAATTATTTTCTTATTAGAGTATGTGGTTTATAAAAAGAACGGAGTAGCTGGTTTAATTCTCTTAAATGTTATCTTGGCTATTCTCTATTATAAAAAGGATACCATCATGGAATACTATGACTTATGAGAAAAATATTTCTTAATTATTGGTTATGTCATTGGGAATGTCATGGCTTATAATAGCACTGATAATCCCAACGGTAAATGACCGGTAGTAATTGGTTATAACGCGGTAATCTTACTAATTTATGCTTATACTTACTGGGAAAGATTAGGCGGTAAACAATTAGCCGAAAAAACTTATCAGCAGCAAATTAATAAATTACGCGAAGAATTTAAGATAAACGACGAGGAATGACACCAAGTTCAGCGAATGTCGCAACCTCCACGGGAAAATAACCTATTTAGCCAAGTCCAAAGCACCATTAGTCAGAGTGATTATAATATTTACTCCGATACTTCCGCCCAAATTAAAATCCAGCAATTAGCCAACTTACAAACTGTTATTCAGCAAAAAGAAGAAGCGGCTCAACAGGAAGAATATTTAAAAAAGCAGGCTGAAACACTAGAACAAGCCGAAAAAATAAATCAGCAATTAGAGCAAGCCCGAGCCAACTTATCTGACCGAATGTCCTGACAAAAAATTCACCAGCAATACCCAGATTTTAAAGATAAATCTCTACTTTTAAAAGAATTCGAAAAAGCCAATCGAATACTTAGTCAAGAAGAGAAAAAAGCTAGTTCAGGTTTAGATAATAAACTAACTAAATTACCAACTCCTTCCGAAGAAGAACTAGACTTATTAAGCCAATTATCTTTAACTATGGAACAATTTGCTTCTTTGGCTAGTCAAGCCCAGTATTTAACTCACCAGGAAAAAGAGGAAATGTTAGAGAATTTCCCAACTTTTCCACAAGACACAAAATTACAGTTAATTAATTCAGGCTTAAATAATTTAGAAATCAACACCTTGGAAAAGAAAGAGAAATTTATTGAGTTAAATCAGCAACTCCATAATGAAAAAGCCAACTTTGGCTTAACTACCCCTGAAAAAGAAAACATTCTCCGTTTACTAATTACTAGTTTAGATTTAAGTCAAGAACAAAGAACTTCCTTAGAACAGATGGGTATTAGATTCTTTGATGCTTCTAATTGAGAAGTCAGCTCGGAACAAGCCAATAGTTTATTAAGTTTTGGTTGTCAGAAAATCCAACTAACTGAGGAACAGCAAATTAACTTAATAAATACGGAGCAATTACGAAACTTTTCTTTAACTGAACCGCAGAAGAATATTCTACAAAGTTTAGCCCCATTAACCCGAGAAGATAAGTATTCACCAACAAGCCTAAATTTATTAAAGTCTCTTAATTTAAAACCCAAATCTTTATCCTTTTTAGTCAATGAGGAAATCTTGCCTAATCCTAATTTAGACTTTGGCGAAGTAAAAAGCCCTTATTTACCGTTAAAAATCAAACTCTTAGCCGGAGAACAAAAAGCCTTAGAAAAACAAGCGGAAATTAAGCAAAAACAACTCAATCAGCAGCAAATAGAAGAAAATAAGCAATCTATCATTCTCTCTCTGGCTGAATTTGCCGAAGCAACTAAGCGAAAAGGTGAAGAGCTACATACTCTGACTTATTCCCTAACTGATTGGGTAAAACATAGAGTAATTAAAGCCTGACAAAAGGACATTTTATTGACCTTAGGATTAAAAACAGTTCCCAAGTATAATTTCTTTGAACTATTAATCTTTGCCGTGGAAAACTTCACTAATACCTCTTTTGCTGAATTCTTGGTTAGTGTTCCCCAATTACAGGAAGATTATCAAAAGTATTTAGCCAGTCAAGTTAATAAACCCATCACCATCAATAAAAACCTCTGAACTAAATTTGTTTCTTCGCAGTCTTCCCAACCAAGAGAAACCTTGAATAACTTAAACCTAGAAGAATTAATTAATCAACAAATAAGAAAACATTTAACTAATTATCAACCTCCGGAAAGAGCCGGCTGGGAAGATTGGTTAAATATCAATCTAGCCTTTACCCAAGAATTAGTGAAAGCTTGACAAAATCACGGCTTTAGTGAGGAAGAATGCCAGGAGTGAATCAATATTGGCTTAACAGTTAATGACTATGATTTTGCTAATTGATTAAGAGATACCATTCAATTAACCCCGGAAGAAGTCTTAAATAACGCTAATGAAACGGAACTAAGAGAACAATTTGCTAAGTCACAGGCAAAAGAGTCAAAACAATCCTCTTCCCGTTATGATAACCTATTTGCTAATTTAAGTAAGGAAGAAGCGGAACGGGAAAGAAAGAAATTGGAAAGAGAACAAGCCCGCAAAAAACTAGAAGACCAAGAACGGCAAAGACGGAAAGCCAAATTATCTGACAAAGATAGAAAATTACAAGAAGATGCTGAAAGGCGGCAAAAAGAAAAAGAATTAGCCGAATTAGAAGACCAAGAACGTGAAGAAGCCAGATTAGCCAGAGAAAAAGCACTACGCGAAGAACAAGATGCTTACTTCGCTACTAAAACTAAAAATCTAGCGGAACGAAAGAAGGCTACCGAACAACTCTTAGCCGATAAAAAAAAGGAAAATGAGTTAGAAGAGCAGAAAAAGAAAGACCAAATTGCTAAGTTAGAAAAAGAAAATCAGGAAGAACAAGAAAGATTAATTAAACAATCCAAGTTAATCGAAGAAGAAGCCCAAAGAAGATTGGCAACAATAGCATTAGAGGATGAAGAACAACGGCAACAAATTGAGAAAAAAGCCAAGGAAGAAAAAGCCCGCATTGAAGCGGAAATGCTAGAAAGAAAAAGAAAACATGAAGAGGAAACAAAAAAAAGAGAACTTGAACTACAAAAACAAAGAGAAGAACGAGAAGCTGAAATTCGGGAACTGGAAACAGCCCGAGAAATGGCTCAAAAAGAGGAGCAAACTATTCGGGAGATGATGGAGAAAGAGCAAAGAGAACGAAAACTTTTTGACCAACAAGCAGCATCTACGGCAAATACGATGGCAAGACAGCGAGAATATGAAAACAAAGTCGAGCGAAACTTCCAAAAAGCCCTTGACAGCATTCTTTATTATCCCATGTTAATTGAAGAATGAAATCGTTGTGTTCAAGGAGGCAGTCACTTTGATAAATGTCCAACCGCAAAAGAAGGATTTAACCGTTATTCAGGTTTAAGAATTAACCCAAGTTTGTTTCAATTTGACTCCGGTAAATGAGTGAAAGCAAGTGGAGGGGGAACTTGAACTTACTTTTTGGCTGATGATTTAAGAAAAGCAATGGGATATCTTGATAGCAGTTGATATAGCAAGCAACAACTGGAAGAAACTCTTCGGAAAAAAATTGGAATTAATTACTAATTATCCAATAATATTAATTATTACAAAAGTCTTCTAGGGCTTTTTTCACGGAGGGAAAATTGGCTTTACATTCAGAAAAACTTTTCTGAAATTCAGGAATTAATGGTTCAAAGCGATATTCATCATCCTTCCCTATCCAACTGGATAATATGTCTTCAAATCGGTTTACTTCTCTTTTTATCTTCTCTAAATCATCTTTACTAAATCCAACCATAGTAATTGTGTGTTCAATTTTACTTATTTCAGTTTCTATATCAATCAGTTTAATCTTATCTTTTGCATCGTTGGGGTCTAAATTTTTCTTTTTTTCTTCTAACTGAGTTATTAAATTCTCTTTATCTTTTTTAATTTGTTCCAAAGAATTAACTAATTCTTCACAAGGTTTTAGTAATTGTCTAATTTCTTCGGCTTGGTCTTGGAGTTGCTTAATTTGGGGATTGCTAGAAGGAGGATTAATGGGAGCATCGGAATTTTGGGGAGGAGTTTCCGGATTAGGAGCTGAACCACCTTGAAAAGCAAACTCATAGAAAAGAATACCCCAGTTGGAATTTTCAGTTGAATTACCCGTCTTCTGAGGTCGGTATTTCTCATGATTATCAATAGTTAACTGTTTGCCTAAATCATCCTGAATTTCACTGTAAACATAACCTTGAAAAAACTTACTCAAAAAAGTTTCCATTAAAGCGTTTAAGTCTTTGACCTGGGAAAGATTAGGGAATTGGGAATTTAAGGAAGATAAAAGAGTATTAATTTCTTCGGATATTCGGCGGCCTAATTCTTGGTAATTGCTTTGGGTAGCAAAAGCCGGTTTATATTGATACTGAGCTTGTAAAGGTTTGAGAACCGTAATAATGTAAGTGTTATAGTCTAAGCCTTTTCAATCAATACTCCCATCACTTTCCCGGGGAATTATTGAGGCTAAGAAAAGGAGAGATTTATAGGTAAAGTTTTTTTGGGATTCTTCATTAAATTTATCGACGGATGGAACCGAAGAAAAAGGCGGAAAACCCGACTTACTATTTACTAACTTTATTTTTTCCTCTAATTCGGCTAAGGAATTGATTTCTCATCACTTTATGTGAGGGACATATTGGGTTAGGAATTCAATGGTGGCTTGTTGGTCATCAAGGTTTTTAGCCGATTTTATTTGGTTGATTTTGGCTTGGGCTTCTTCTTCGCTGGGTAAATATTGAATATTGTCCGGATTAGGTAAAGGATTATCGGAAGGTGATTTAGTTGGAGAATTGCTGTTACTGAAACTAGTAAAGAAATAAATTCCAGTGATTAGTCCAACTATGAGAGCTATTCCCAGGACTATTCAGACTAAATTGTTTTTTTTTTTTTTTTTTTGTTAAATCGTTCATGAGGCATTATTTAGGGGGGATTTGGGCTTGGGCTTGGGTGGAAGATTGTTCTTGGGGGTCTTCTTGAATATTGAATTCATCAAAGTTAAAGTTATTAATATCGAATTCTAAATCCTTAGAGCCATGCATCTTACTGTAGAATTGCTCATTTATTTCTTTACTGTTTTGGGGTTCTGGGAGGTTTTTAGTGTCTAACAAACGACTAGTATAAATGGCTCGGGAATGAATTTTTTTTTGAAGAAGAGGAATTTTCTTATTCAATTTTTTATCAATTCATTCAAAAAACAACTCTTGACGTATTGCTGCTTCAAAACCATCTTCTAAATTTGTATCCGAGTTCTTTGTGTTATTAATAATAGAATTATTAATAGTTATCATGTCATATATAGCAGATTTTTTAAATTCTGGCTCTCATCGAGAATATTCTTTTCTCATCATTTGTTGATATGATTCATAGTCTTTTGGTCAATACTTTTCTATTCTGACTTTTTTAATTTCCATGTTTTGCTTGAAAAAAGTAGAATTTTCTCTACCTTCGCCACTTTCACTAAACCAATCATTTAGTTTGTTATTTAATTCCTCAGCATTTGGTCTCCTTTCAGGATCGGCATCTCAACATCTTTTAATTAATTCTTCTAAAAGAGGTGGTATTTCAACATTGAACCGGGGACGAAGTCCTTGACATATTAATACTGCTAACGATGAATCATGAGCAAACTCACGATAAGGAGGTAAACCGGTCAATATTTCATAAGCTATCATACCAAAAGAATAAATATCACTTTCTTGAGTATAGGGTTTGCCATTAAGGACTTCCGGAGCTACATAAGGAAGAACTCCATAAACTTTGCCATTGTCTTTCTCATTTGCTGGCCGACATAATCCGAGATCAGTAATACGACAGGAATTAAGACAATCATTAATCATATAATTTAATATGTTGCCGGGGTGGAAATCGCGATGAACTAATCCTTTCTGATGGATACGTTTTAATCCTAATGAAATATTGGATAGCCGACAAAGTTTATCCCATGTAAAACTTAAAAAAATGTACTTGCTTCTTAGGAATTGTCTTAGATTACTATTTTCTCCCATATATTTTGTAACTATTGCATAGTTATTAGTTTTTGGATCTCTTGATATACCATAGCATTCAACAACAGTTACTCCATCACCAAGCAATTTATGGTTAGTAATTTCTTGTAAAAAACTGGCTTCTGCGTTTTGAGAATTATTTAATTTCTTTAAAGCGACTTCTCCTTCAAAGCCTAAACCATAATAGTCACCTTGATTTTCTCTTTGTCATTGATTATCCTTAACACTTCAACTATTAATCGGTCCATCAAGCCATTTCGCCTTATAAACTTTACCGAAACCACCTTCTGCTAGATATTCAATATTAGTAAATTGCTCATAGGGTATTCATTCTAATAAATCCCTCGATCTAGTTGCTTCTAATTGGTGTTTATGAATAAGTCTATCTATTTCAAGGCTATCACTAGTCCAATTCTTAAATTCTTCTTGAAAATGTTTAGCGTTACAAGGTTGACACCATTTACTGCTGGTGTTAGGTTGTTGACATTCTAGACATAGTCCATTTTTTTGATTCTTTTTAACTTTTCTTCATCCTTTACAGTCATATTTACCTTTCTTGGCATCAACAGCAAAAGGTTGTAATTCTTTGTAAATCTTTTCTACTTCAGCTCGAGGATTTGTAATTATATAACAATGAAATTCCTCAACGCTATCAGGCAAATATTCTAAACCAGAGTCAATGTTATTATCACTAATGTCTAAGTTTCTTAACTTTTTTAATTTTTTTAAATGCTCTAAAGAACCAGAGAAAAAATTTCCTCCTACATATATTTCCTCTAAATTATTGAAGTCTTCTAAGAAAGATAAGTCTTGTTCTAACTTATTATCATGTATTACTAATTGTTTTAAATTATTTTTATTGTTAGGTAACTTAAGACTAATTAGTTGGTTTTTGGCACAGTGTAAATGTTCTAATTTATTACAATTGCTAAGGTCAAGATTTGTTAATAAATTATCTGAACAATGAATTCTTCTTAAATTACTACACTTGCTAAGATCTAAATGATTTAATTTGTTTTCACCACAATACAGTTCTTCTAGATTAATAAAGTCTGATAAGTCTAATTCATCTTCTAACTTTGAGTCACTTATATCAAGTTTTTTTGTTTGCATCCTTAATTTTTTGTTAATATATTCTTGTATATCTACCATAAATTTTTTATTTCTATCCCAATTCCTCAGGAAAAGTAAAAGAAATTAGTCTAGAAAAAACAAAAAAATATTCCCCTTTATTAGTAAAAAAGCAATTGTTTAGAGAATTAGCAGTTACTTTTGCCTTCTCTCTGCTATTAAAGAATTGGAAGATTTCAGTCATGTCATATATAATTAATATTTTAACATTTTACATGTAGAAATATATATAAAATTACAATATAGACCAAAAAGGTAAAAAAACTACTTACTAAGATACTTGGTAAATAGCAAGGTTTAGAGAAAAAACTTCTGATTATTTTACTTCTCTATACATAAAATTATAATATATTTAAACGCCTATGAATATCAAAAAATTACGCGAAACCACCTGCGATAAATGCCAACGCGTATTTTACCGCAAACTAATCCCCCCCGCAAAGAGGGCGAGGAAAGACAATTAACCAAAATTAACGAAGTTAGTTATTGAACCGAAGGAAAGAAATGAAATAGTTATCAAATTCTTTGTCGCGATTGTTTAAATAACTGGTTTGAAAAAGACCGCATTGATTTTTATGATTTAGTAAGTAAAAAAAAACAACGACTTTATTATCAGTATCGTTATTTAGGGACTTTTTAAATACCATTAATTCGCTGCTGAAAAAAGGGTAACTAGTCAGTTTTTTGTTAGAGTATCTTCCCAGATGCGTAGTAATTAAATAAAAACTAATATAAAATATATATACATGGTATTATGATGAAAAAGAAATTCTAATCCTGTGTTAAAAAATTTAGGAAAAGCGTGAGAATGAAGTGCATATCACAATTTTGCTCTCTCTCTCTCTCTCTCTCTCTCTCTCTCTCTCTCTCTCTCTTATATTAAACTATTAAACTATGAAAAAAGAAAGAATTAAATAATGGCAGTAGATTTATCATTACTAGATATTTATACTTAAAAATTTAACTAATCTAGGCAACGAAAATCTTCCAGTTGATAATGAATTAACTATTAAAACTATTATATATGTATTTGGTTAATGTGCTAGAGTCGAAATGGTCTTTAGAAAAAACATTATTAATAGTCGTTGATTTTTTTAATAAGCTCTTACTTCCTACTTTCTAAGTGGCGAGTAAGTTCACGTGTATATTTCAATCAATCTGAAAAATTATAAAATTCTAAAAAAATTTTTAACAAATTAAAATAAAATTCAAAATTATATAAATAAAAAAAATGGTAGATACAAGTAAATTAGATACAGCAAAAAATGCTAAATATGGACTTTCCTCAACAAAACATGAATTAACTGATGCTGAAAAAACTGGAATATTCAGTAGCATTACTGATGACAGTGTTTTAACTAAGGTTCAAGACCTATTGCACATTGTAATAGAAGTAAAAAGAAGCAGTTCAGTGACTTATAACGAGGATTCTTACAAAAAATTGTCAAGTGCTCGTTGAAACGGTAGTGCTAGCACCGAAAGAAAAGCTTATAATGCTATCAACAATTATCGAGGTTATGCCAAAGATGCTATTGTTGCCTTGCGAAATGCTTCGCAAAAAGAGGATGCGGTAAAATGAGCCAAATCATTATTTTCTAGTGATGCCGCCCTTTTTGATGCCACTGGTTTGGAAACGAAAGATGTTTATTACCTTGCCAGTTTATTAAATTATCTGCAAAGAGCCAATGCGAATGATAAAACTGCTGTGGAGGGATTAAAGAAAGCTAAAAATCATAATGGCAAAGCTTATCAGGCCTTAAAGAGTCGGGTAGATGCGGCTATTACGAGTTTGAGTGGAAATTCACCTCTTCCTGACTCGAATGAAAAAATTGCCGGAAAAACCAAAGCGGAGTGAAATTCTCTCTTAGAACAAGCCAAAAAAGATATTATTATTTATACGTCAGAAGAAGAGGCTAAACAAGCCGAGGTAGATAGTCAAGCTCAAGTGTGCGGCTCAGCCAATTTTGAATGAAAAGAAGCCAAAAAGCGACTGGAGCAAATTGAAAAATTACTGGATGAATCTCCAACTAACGACAATCTTAAAAGTGGGACTTTTTCAGATGATTCTCGTGCCATATTAGAAAGAATTAGATTGCGAAGTATCGATAGTATTACTACCTCAAATGCTAGAACTAATAGTACATGAATTGTTAGAACTAGTTTTCCATCCAGCGGACGCGAATATATTGAAAAATATTGATTAAGTGTGCTTTGTAACCAGTATGCCGATATCTTTCGGGAGTTTGACAAAGCTGCTCTTTTTAAGTCTATTGACAACATTAACATGAGAGCAGGAGCTAATAAAAAAGATGTTAAAGATGCTTTTGATAGAATGATGAAAGCTAAATGAGGCTGAACGAAAAAATCAGGTAGAGCTCCATATAACAAAATTACGTGGTTAGAACAAGGACAGGAGATAGATTCTGATTCTAAAACAGTCAGTAAATCCCTTGCTGACTGAAGAAAAAAAAGACCTTATAATGCCGCTGACCGTCAGGATAAATATCCATATGCTCGTTTTAGTTTAGCAGATTTTTTTCTAGTTATGAATAATCTTTTTCCTAAGGCATCATTAGATACAAATGCTTTAATAAATGAGAATAATGCTAATTGTTTAAAACATAAAGATGGCACTACCAATATATTAAGAAAAAAATTTACTATTCAATGGAACGGAACATCGAAACCCGACGGAAAGCCTGCTAATGATGAAGAAAAAAAACCTCTTGCGAAAGAAGTGATTCTTGGTTACAGCGGAGGTGCTTTTAGCGATTTTTGAGGTGCGTGAAATGACCCTAATCTTTATCGAATAAGTGTTGTACGAAAACCTTACGAAGCGGCACCCTTTGACCCGGACGAGGAAGTGGTGAAAAGAATTCAGATAGAACATGATTTTACTTCTCTGAATCGCAATTATGAATTTGTACGAGATCAATTTAGTTATATTGATGAAATTAAAAGGTTAGTAACTAGTAAGGGTATTAAATGGAATGAGGGTTGACAGGATGCTGCTCAAGATATTGCTGTTCAAGCCTCATTCGTTGCTCCTAATGATGCGGCTATTAAAAACATTAAAAAGGAAGAAGCTCCATCAAAACAAAGACTTATCACTTCACTAAGATATGAATTAGTAAGAACTGGTTATGACTTTCTTCCCTTTGATAAAATGCAATCTCAGGCTGAAACTGATATGCATTTAGCGGAACATAACTATAATTTGGAAAAAGATCGGGCTACCAAATTAAGAGAAGAGTTGCACACTATCCAATCTAAGAAACGAGAGGCTGAGAATCAAAAAACCTTAGCCGAAAAGAATCTTCTTATCTTCTCAGGAATGTCTTTGGATCAACTGAAAGCTGAATTTAATGCAGTTTATAAAGGCGGAACTAATGGTGGCAGTAATAATCCGAAATATTATCCTTTTGAATTAGAAGTGATGGATGGTTTATTATGATGAATCAAAGAAAAATCAGACAATAAAAAACTAGATGCTACTTATGAGGGATACCAAAAAGACTTACAAGATAACGTTTATGGTAAAATATTGCCTTCAGATATTATAGAGACAAGTAATTTCGACAATTTAGGTAAAAATATAGGCGAAATAATTAAAAATTGTAAGTTTAAGGATGCTAATCAGCGTAGTGCTCGGCTTGGTGCTATCAAAGCTTGTTTCGACAGGATTAAAGCAGTTCGCCATTTAGGTCCTAAAGAGGATGATTTATATAAAAATATCCAAAAAGCCTTAACTGGACAATTACCAGAAGAGAAAGATGAAATACCACAAAAAGATGATTTACAAATACCGACACTTGCTGCAGCATTAGGCATTGCCGAATCTGATACTACTCAGACTATGGTTGATAATTGAAGAAATCTAAATGATAAATATAAGGATCAAAAAAATGTTAAGGCTATAATTGATCTGGTAGCTTCTGATAAAAAAGATTTTTCTACTCATTTAAGCGGTGCCGGAATTTTCGGTACTTCTGATAAAATTTCTGGAACTGATGAAAATGATTCTTGAAAGAAATTCGTGCGAGAAACTACTCCGGAAAACATAATAAAAACTATTTACGCTCATAAGTTAGAGAAAGACGATTACAAAAAAACTATTGAAAATGAGATGAAAGCCAAAACCGATTTGAAAAAAAGCGAGTATGGTGGTGATGAACCCAAAAAGCCAGACATGGTTAAATACCTTTATGATAAAGAATTAGGTAAATTACAAACTAACGGAACAGATAGTCCAACTGGTCCAACTGGTCCTTCTAAGGAAGTGCCTGCTAAATGATGACATTGAAGTACAACCAGCGGAAAAATTCTTTGAATAAGTACTGGGTTTGTTGTAGTATCGGCTCTTGCCGCAGTTATCTTCTGAGATAACCTGAAAAACTGATGAAAGGGTGGTCCCGAAACTGAAGGCGAAGGAACCGAAGACGACGAAACCGGAGAAAAAAAGGAAAAAACTGAGTAAATCCTCTTTAATTAAGTAAATAACCATTAACAATAAAAAAGGGAGTCCGAGCGGCTCCCTTGCTTGATAAAGAAATAAACTAAAATTATAATAAGGAGTTCTTTAGTTAATATTTCCTTTTCTCTCCTTGGTAAAAAGCAAAAAATTACTATATAATATATTTCTCGGGAGTTAGTTAATAATTAAATTAGTTTTCTTTTACAAGAAAAAAAACATGAAGTCCTGGTGGCAGTTGAATAAACTGAGGAAAGTCCGTACTCGCACTTACTGGAATGTAAGTAGTTTTAGTGCTAGGTCCAATAAACCTAGGCAGGTCTTCTCTGTTCTCCTCCTGACGGCGGGTACAAATACCTAAGTACTTTTTTCTCTCTCGAGTATAAGGTATTAGCCTATAAAAGTGCTATAGTGACGATTACTAGGGAAACCTAGGAAGTGAGACGACGTAAACCCCACTAGCGAGCAATCCAAATTCTTTATGTTGGTAGGAGCACCAAAGACGGAGAATAATAATCCTAGTTGGTAATTCTCACAAGGAATTAAGATAAATCATCAGTTAAAAACAGAATACGGCTTATTCTTCATGATTTTAATTTTATATTTATATAGTTCGGCAGAAGTAGCAATAAGAATAAAATACTAACTCTCAGTAGAGAATTGGAGGTGTAGTTTAATGGTAGAACATCGGCCTCCAGATCCGAGAGTATGGGTTCGATTCCTATTGCCTCTGCCAAAATTATATGGAGCGTAAAAAAATATTTTAATAAAATTTAACTAACCATGGTAGAAATTAGAGGAGAAATTGAATGAGAAATAATTATGATTCTTTTACAAAAAGGTTTTTTTTCTGAATTCCCTTTTGTAAAAAAAGAAAATTTCTTTTTAGGTTTATAACTTAAATTAGTAATTAGTTTTATCGAATGTCAGAAAAAGAAAAAAAAAAAAAAAAAGGTGTAGAAGAGCCCGAAATTGATTATGAGGTTGAAAGTATTCAGGTTCCGAAAGGAGACATTGATTCAGTCAGAAATTATCCAGCAATGTATATTGGCTCAACCGACGAACAAGGTTGACATCATCTTTTTCAAGAAGTGATTGATAACTCCATTGACGAAGCAGTAGCGGGTTATTGTAATCAAATTAAAATAACTCTCTCGGCCGACCAAAAAACTCTCACTGTCGAAGATAATGGTCGGGGTGCTCCAATTGAGAAACATCTTGTCATCAAAAAAAATTCTTTGGAAACCATTTTTACTATCCTTCACGCGGGTGGCAAATTAAAGAGTAAAGTTTACAAGACTTCTGGAGGGCTACACGGAATTGGCGTAACTGCCGTTAACGCCTTATCAGCCTACTTGCGGGCTGAAAGTAGCCGAAAAGTAATTGAAAAATGTTTGTTGCATGGTGCCCAATGAGCGAAGCATGAAGATGACAATCATCCTTGCGGCACTTTAGATTGTCGTCAGCAATTAGAAGAATTAAGAAAACAAATCAAAGCGTGTAATGACTGTCAAGAGAAAGACAAAACCGGAATAGTCGAATTCCGGGAAGGAAATTTAATAAACTCACAAATTATTGATACTCCCAAAAAACCAAGCGGGACAGTGGTTACTTTCACTCCGGATCCAAAAATTTTTCCAGAGTTTACTTATTTCAAAATTGAAACTATTCAAAACCGCCTAAAAGACTTGGCCTACCTTAATCCTAATTTAACTTTAATTTTTTATCCCTCTCCTGAGGCTACTCCGATTACTTATCATTTTAGTAGCGGTTTAGCTGGTTGAGTAAAAGAAATAAACCAAGATGATTATTTAGAAAATACTGAAGTCTGTATGGAAGAATTGACCGATTCAGTCTCGCTAAGAAAAGATGAGGGAGGAAATTACCAAAAAGAATATTTTTACTTGAACTTTGCTTTTCAGTATAACCAAGCACAAAAAAAGAGCCAAATTAAATCTTTTTGTAACAATATTATCACTGGTGGTGGAGGAAGCCACTTAGATGGCTTTGAAAATGGTCTAATTAGTGCTTGTAGGGATTGAATTAAAGAAAAACATACTGACTTGAAATTAAGCATAAAGGCCGATGACATTTTAGAAGGATTAACTGCCATTTTGTCTATCCGGGTGAAAGATCCCCAATTTTCTGGCCAAACTAAATATCGTTTAGCCATGAGTCCAGTGCGAGAGGTAGTTAAAAATATCACTTATGACTTGGTTAAAAAATTTCTCCAAGACCATGCCAATAGTGCCGAAGCCATTAGCAAGAAAATCATTGAAACTGCCGAAAACCGAGCTAAAACTGAAGAATATCAAAAATCCTTACGTGAAGGCGGACAAGGTGTCGCTTTATCAGGTAAATTAGCCCCGTGTATTTCCAAAGATGTTGCTAACAACGAATTATTTATTGTCGAAGGAGAATCAGCGGGAGGTAGTGCCAAGTCGGCCCGTAATCCTTATAATCAAGCAGTTTTACCAGTGCAAGGAAAAATTCTTAATGTGATAAGAGCTAAATGAAGTCAAATCGCGAAAAATAAAGAAATTATTAACTTAATGAACGCCTTAGGACTGGGTTCTGCCGAAACTGCTCAAAATTATTATAATCGTTTTCAAACTAAATTAAAAACTACTGACATTAGTCAAGAGGAGTTAGAGATACCGGAAGAATTTATTTATCAAGATGACACTGGTCAAGAACAAATAATTCCGGCTCATACTTCTCTCACTTTGGAGCAAGTAAAAATCATAGTTGAAAAATCCAAGGAAAAATTATTAAAAAAACTTCGCTATGGTAAAGTATTAATTATGACCGATGCCGATGAGGATGGTAACCATATTGATTGTTTAGCATTTGTTTTTTTTATTCGTTATTTTTTTTATTTGGTGGAAGAAGGTCGCTTATTCTTAGCAGTTACTCCACTCTATCGTTGAAAAAGCCGAGAAGAAGTTAGGTATTTCAGTGATTACGAATGAGAAATTTATAAGCAAGAAAATAAAAAAGTTGCTGGTGGTAACTTGCAACGGTTTAAAGGATTAGGAGAAATGAATCCGAAACAATTACGGGAAGTTACTATGGGAGCGGAAACGCGCCTTCTGCCCCATAAATTAAATTACTCTAATTTTTCCTCACTGCTTAATACAGTTCAAGATTTAATGGGTCCAAAAAGTGAACCCCGCAAAAAACTTTTAGATAGTGGTGAATATGAGGACGTGCAACTAGAAGTAATTGATGGCAAAGTAGATATAGAACAGGCCTTACGAGTAAAGTTTTCTTCTTATGCTTATGAAGTAGTAAGAAACCGTGCCTTAACTCAATTACAAGATGGTTTAAAGCCAGTTCAGCGTTATATCCTCTACACTCTTTATGAATTAGGATTTTTACCCAATAAACCTCATCGAAAGTCAGCGAGAGTGGTCGGGGATGTAATCGGTAAATATCACCCGCATGGTGACCAGAGTGCTTACCAAGCGATGGTAAAAATGGCTCAAGATTTCAATTATCGCTATCCGCTAATTGACGGACAAGGTAATTGAGGTTCGATTGACGGCGACTCCGCAGCCGCTTATCGTTATACTGAAGCCCGTTTGTCTCATTTTGGTTTATATCTCTTGAAAGATTTAGTCTTTGAAACGGTAGTAAACTGAAAAGACAATCATGACAACAGCGAAAAAGAACCAGAGGTTTTACCCCCGCACCTTAATTTATTGCTCAATGGTTCCAGTGGTATTGCCGTTGGAATGAGTGCCGATATTCCTCCTCATAATTTAGGAGAAGTAGTAGACCTAACCATTGCCCTGGTTAATAATCCTCAACTTGATACCGAAAAATTAGTCGTTACTTGAAAATGTTCCGACTGTCAAAGTCAAGGAAGAGGAAAAGTTATTCAGTGTTCCACTTGTCAAAGCACTCAAATCAAGTTAAGTTATTTTGGCCCAGATTTTCCGACGGGCGGACAAGTATTAGAGCAGGAAAAATTACTGGAAATTTACGAGAAAGGCGAAGTTTCTAAAGGCAAAGGAACTATTTACATTCGGGCCAAAGCCGAGATAATTTCTAGTAAACAAGAGAAAGAAAAAAAAGATTTAATTAGGATTACCGAATTACCTTTCAAAATTAATAAATCGAAACTAGTAGTTAATATTAGTCAAATAATTAAAGATAAAAAGATTCTGGGCTTGAAGAGTGTTGCCGACTATTCTAATTATGAAGAACCAGTAAATATTCATTGCTATTTTGACCCTAATTATGATGGAGAAGTTATTCTTAATCAATTATATAAAAAAACCAGACTGCAAAGCACCTTCTCTTTTAAAATGCGGTCTTTGATTGGCTACCAACCCAAGGTATTTTCTTTAAAAGAAATTATCCAAGGGTTTATTGATAGAAAGTTGGAAAATATTCAAAAAAAAGCCCAATTTATTTATTACAAAGCCCAAAAAGAATTGATTAATAAAAAAACCCGCCATTTTATTATTAAAAATTATCAAGGAATTGCCCAAATAATTCATAGCAATGCTTCCGAAGAAGAAAGCAAAAAACAATTGATAAATAAATTCCGAGAAGAAATAACAGAATTAAAAGATACAACAGTAGATTTATTTTTAATGGATCTTATTATCAAATCCGAAAAGACAATTGGTGAAATTAAAGTTCAAAGCCAGCAAAAGAATGAAGTAACAAAAAAAGAAAAATGCCGGGAATTAGTTGGTTTGATAAGACAGATTGATGTCTACAAAAATGAGAAAAATTACCAAAATAAAGAGAGTGAAATAAATAAAATAAAAGAAATAATAATTAGTCTAGAAATTGAAAAAAGTGATGATATACCTAACTTGCTGGAAGATGATTACCTTAACCCGGAACAAAAAGTTATTAATCGCATTTTAGATACGCCCGCTAGTTTTCGTCAATTTACTCCGGAGAAGCAAAAAGAATTACAAAGCGAGATTGAGGTCTTAAAAGCCAATATTATTCAACAACAGTTATTAATTGTTCAACAAGAACAAAGAAAACAACAACTAATTAGTGAATTGGTTGAATTGAAAAAAGAGTATTCCCATGACCAAAGGAGAACTATCATTACTTCTCAACCCCATTCTATTGCTGAAAGACAGTTAATTCCCCACGAAGAAAGAATCGTTTTACTGAGTCGTTCGGAAAACAAAAAAGAAAACAAAATTAATAATTATTTAACAGTTCATAGTCTTTCGGCAGTGGAACCAACTAATATTCCTAGTCAAGGTAAAGAGTTAAAAACTCGGGGCGATAATTGAGCGTTAATTAAACTGGACCGGCGTGATGATTTATGGTGCTTTTCGAATTATGGTAGATTATATAGCCTTACTTTCTATAAATTTGTTGCTTTCAATAAAACTACTAACTTAGATGAGGAGTATTTCACGAAAATCAGAAAAGGAGAATTAAAACCCACTCTAAAATCCTCAGAATTCTTCACCGCGGCTTTACCAGTCAAGGAGGAATTTACCGAGAAATCTCTCTTAATCATTACCCAAAAAGGAAAAATTAAACTCATTCCAACCGAAAAACTACAAAATATCAGCAAATCAGGCAAGAAATTAATCAATCTTTACCAAAAAACTATTGAAAAATGTTCGCTTCATCAGAGTCAATTGACGGAACATAAATCTATTACTCATGTTTGCGGTATTGGTTGCCAACAATTAAGAGAAATTCAAAAACAAATTAAAGACTGTGGTAATTGTCAAGAAAAATGAACTGGCAGTGGTGATGAAATCGTTAAAAGTACCTTAATTCACGGCAATGAGGAAGTAGAAATTATTCTGAAACGAAAAGCCAAGGGTGGTCAAGTAAAAAATTTAAAAGTCCCACTTTATCGCCAAATGAGAAGAAAGGACAAAGAAGGAAACTCCCTTTATTGTCCGGTTCATCAGAACCAGTTAAAGAAACACAAAACTGCTAATTGTTGTGATAAAAGCCAAGGAGTTAAAGCTTATTCTCGTTGCTTGAAATTTAGAAAATTAACTACTGAAATTAAAGATTGCCAAGACTGCCAAAACCCTCAATTATTTGCTAAGCAAACCCGTAAGCAAGTAAAATGCGAACAAGTAGTAGACCTATTAATTATTAAAGCCGGAGAAAATAAGGAAAATCTGCTCCTATTTTTAATTAAAAAAGATAATGTGGGTGAAAAAAAACCATTATCCACGGCTAAAACTTGAATCAGTTCCGATAGTAAACTAAAAAAAACGGCTCATTGTAAAAAACATTGGTTTGATTTAGAAAAACTGGAAAAAGTCCAAGAGAAAATCGAAACCGAATTGCGGAAGGAAAAAGAAATCGCCGAAGAACGAGTGCTAAAATCTACTCTGCCCCTGGAAATTAAAGAAAAAATATTGAAAGATAGCAAAATAATCACCGGAGTAAATACTAAAGAAATGGAGAAAAAAATTGCTAATTCTCCAGTTGACCTAACCATTGGTGAAGTAGCTATTGCCACGCAAACCCAAGATTTAAAACAAAAAGGAGCCATTTACCAAAAAAAACTTAATGAATATAAAAATCAGCACGAGAAAATAAGTGATTTCAAAGAAAAAAATAAAAAATGTTCTGATTGTCAAAAATATTGTGGTAACCATGAGAAAAAAACTCAGGAGGAAATGATTAAGCACGAAACTTGTCATCATTGCCACAAGTACGATAAACAAATTCAGTCAGCCAAAGAGAAGGTCGAAGAAATAAAAGAAAAATTAGAAGAATTAAAGAAAACTAAGCCTGGGGCGGTCAAAGAAATCCAAAAGTTAACTAATGATTTGGAAAAGAAAAAAGAACAAAGTACTAAATTACGTCACGAAGTGCTTGGCAATCGAACCAAATGTCCGACTTTGAATAAATTGAAACTGGAAAGAAAAGACTGTAAAAAGTGTCAAGACCAAGACAAAAAGAAACATAAAGCCTTGTTCGAAAATCCTCTGCAGCATGTAAGTCTAGTCAATAAAGAGAAGAATCCGGAGATATATTTATTAGCTCAAACAAATGTGTGCTGATATAATAAAAAAGATTTAGTTTCTTTCTGGGAGAGTGATAGTAAAACCAAAAGTTTATTACGAGATAGAAAAAGAGAAATTACTGATATTAAAATTTACTCTTTTTAAGTGCTTGAAGGTTACCTAATATATATATATATATATGAAAGTGAGTGATAAGGAAATTGCGAAAATACTAATTAGAAATTAGATAAAATTAAGGCAATTATATACAACTTTAAACTAAAATCCAGTTATATATGTTTAGTTTTAAAAGTATAGCAGAATTATTAGCAGTCTTTCCTAAAGAACAGACTATTATTAAGTATTTAGAAAAGCATAGGTGAAATGACAAGGTAGTTTCTCCTTATGACCCAACCTCAAAGGTTTATTTTTGCCCTAGCATTAACCAATATAAGTGTAAGAACACGGGCAAGTTTTTTAGTGTGAAAACTGGAACTGCTTTTGCTAATACTAAACTGAAATTAAGGGATTGGTTTATAGCCTCATATCTTTTTACTTCTCATAAAAAAGGTATCTCCTCTTGTCAGTTAGCAAAAGACCTCAATATCACACAAAAATCAGCCTACTATTTATTAGATGATTTACGAAGCAACCTTAAACAATCTAACTTTATTAATGAAATGTTGAAAGGCATTATTGAAATAGATGAAACTTATGTAGGAGGTTCAAATCCTAATCGACATTGAGATAAAAAAGTCCCTAACTCCCAAGGTAGAAGTTTTAAAGATAAAACCCCTGTGTTAGTAATGATAGAAAAAGGTGGTAATTTGATTACTCGGGTGGTTCCTAATGTTAAACAAGAAACTTTGGAGCCAATAATCAGGACTAATGTCAAAGAGAGAAGTAATGTTTATACGGATGAATGATTGGCTTATAAGGATTTAAGCAAATGATATAACCATGGGATAGTTAATCATAGAAAGAAGCAATATGTTAACGACAAGGCTTCGGTTAACTCGGCTGAAAATTTTAACTCCCACTTAAAAAGAGGACTTAACACTTATCATTGAGTAAGTAAAAAACACTTATCAAAATATGTTGACGAGTTTGCTTTCAGGTTTAATACTCGGAAATATAGCGAACAAGAGAGGTTTAATTTAGTTCTTTTATCGAGTATAGGTAAAAGTCTAAGTTATCAAGAATTAATTTCTACTCTATAATTCTGCTTTCTTTACATTCTTATTTAGTCTCTTGTTTTCTTCCTCCAAAAGCCCTATATATTTATCTTTAATTTTACGCTCTTCAACAAGTTCAATTATGCAATTATTTGACCTTTCAAAACTTTCCATAAGTTGTTTAATTTTTTCATCGGCTTTTTTTGCAGTTTCCGATAATTTTTCTAATTTCTTTTCTAACTTTTTGTATTCTTCTAATTCTATTTCTACCATATATATATGATATATTTTAGTGTTCTAAATCCTCTCCCAAACAAGAAAAAAGAATGAAATAATTACTTCTCCTATACTTTTCTTACTCCATCATTTTTACATCATGGACACAAGTTTTTTTCAGTCTCATATTCCTTGCGGATTTTCTTTTTGCAGACTTTACACCTAAAAAAATCATAGTTAGTTCCAGTTTCTACCTTAATCTTTCGCCAAATAAATCAACCGAGAAAGATAAAGAGGGGAACGAGAACTATGCATGCTCCTATAATATACCCGAGTTGACTTGATTTTGCTCTCTCTCTCTCTCTCTCTCTCTCTCTCTCTATTATTAGGAGGATTGCCTAAACTATCTAAATCACTTTGGGAGGGAAACCACATTGAAACTCATTGATTAGTATTTCAGTTATACAATAAATAATCTTCATTTCCAGTAGTATCACTCTTTTGGGTTCGGTGATAAAGGGTATTTCTTTTACCATTCTTTTTCACCCGATGGTCTTTTTCTACCTTTCATCAACAGGCATCATGAAATATTTCATCGCGGTCATTATCAAGTCAATAACAATCGCCAGCCCTTTCTAATTCTATTTCTTTATTACAATGTCTGCATTTATATCATAGAGCAATAATAATGCTTAGCAAATTCACTAAAATTATAATATTATGCCTAAAAAGTTAAGTAAGCACCATTCAGAAAAGGAAAAAGGCATTAGACCAGTAAGCCAAGAGGAGTTTGATAAAGTAATAAAAGCCTTGTTAAATTCTCCACCTAGAAAAAAAAGGAGGGAAAAGAAGTAGTTTAAAGTTGTATATAATTGCCTTAATTTAT